ACACACACACACACACACACACACACACACACACACACACACACACACACACAGAAAAATCACTGTCAAAAAGTGGCCACAAAGCAGCGATTGGTGATCTTCATTTGCATTTTTCCGTCCCAGTTTGTACTGAATGTACGACTTCTCACTCTGCTCATCCACAGGGTCAGACGAGTTCACCCTGCAGGATGACTCCTAATGTGAAAACTAGAAGCTACCATGTAAAATTACACATGTACTCATAGAGGAGGCTAATAACAGCCTCGCCTGGCTCAAGGTCTATACGTTAGAAGGTTCATTTTGAGTTTCTAGAAATCCAGAATTCCAGAGAACTGATCCTGCTCACGTAGAATCCCTGCAAATTTGATGCCTGTCAACTTTACAACTTTCTAACATACAGACCCTGAGCTGTAAAATGAGCTACTTTCAGCTCATTGCACACCTAGTTGTTCCCCTGGAAGGCTCCCTGGGCAGCGGCTGAGGCTGCTCCGGTGGCTGCTGACTGAAACGTTCGACTGCTCATGACCCCGTGTGACAGTTCCTGCTGGGCCTTTTGGAAACTGGCCCCGGTGCGGCGGTACATGCCATGGACCTGAGGACGAACAAAGTGGGAGAATATGAGTGACCTAGATCACGGTTGTTAGCAACACACGTCTTAGACGAGTGATCTCAAAGTTTAGGAGTCATTTCATTTTAGGTCATGAAAATTGATCATTAAACCTTGAATGTTGTGACCCTTCATTTATCAGATTTTTATAAACTTATTTTTGTGCTAGATAGTTAAATGCAATGAAAATAAGTGCAAATATTTTCTTTCATTTTAGAATATTATTAACATTTATCTGAGGCAAAAATAATATGCTTACATGCCCTCAATTCTGCCCATTTGCTTGAATTAACAGTGTATGGCAAGCAGTTTTAACATTTAATCAGTTCAACACACTCCTCTCTTTAATTACTTTAAAAAAATCAACAAAAAGATTTCTAATAATCAAAATTACATCCTTACTAATCAGAATTAAACCAGAATTAAATCAGAATTAAACCGGATCGAATATATACTGTTGTGAGTACATGTGATTGACTAAATATGTGCTACAACACGCTCAACTATCAGCTTATCACTGGTAACGACGCGACTTTCCTCTCACTCATTCCGCAGCTTCACAGTGCTTTAGAGTGGACGCTCAGCTTCCACAGAGTTCATTAACGATGCAAAGACTGCAACGAAACAAGACTAGTCATTGGATAAATGCTGGGCTTTGTCCCGCCCATCGGACGCTCAGCGTCTCTGGGGGTCTAAGGGGCAGTGGGCTGGCCTCGGCTGGCCCAGACGCTCAGCTTCTGCATGATGATTGGATGATATGTCTGAGGCTGAGTCTCTTTTTGATTGACAGCGAAATGAGCGAATCAGTGATGTTTCGGTGTAAACATTCCGTGGAGCAGTTTTTACTTTTGTTTCTGTTCTGAGTTGAACCGGATACCTTATTAATCCTTTTAGCAGCATTTTCTTTGTTAAAAACGACTAGCGACAAATCGAGCTTCTATTTCGTTTTTTTTATAGCTGCTTGTGTTTGGAGACTGACTTCTATCACTCTTTCTGACTTCTATCACAGTTTCTGTCCAGCGGGTGCTGCTGAGCCCCTGCACTGTCACAAAGCTCTCACAGGCGGACACAGTTCACACTGCCTCACGCCAGTAACAAGCTGCACAGCAGACAGTTTGAATGTTGTGGACCGGGTTTTGGCTAAGCCATTTGATAGTCTTCCTTACGAAGAAAAACTTAGAGTTAAACAGCAGGGTTGATCAACTCCTCAGATTAATTTGGTGCAAAAGTTGGGGAAAAGTAACAGGTCTTTTCAGCTGTCCTGGTATGACAAAGTGAGCTGGCTGACTGGAAGTGCTGTAAAATGATCTGTGACCCTGTCACAAATCATTTTCTTGAAAAGAAACAGAGGGTAGAATTTACACATTTTATGATGTAGGCCGAAATTGAGCTTCCCCTTCTTGAAAGACCAGCATCTGCCACTGCTGCAATCTAATATTTACTAGCAGAAATCAAAAAATTAAATCTTTACAATTTTGATTTTACACAAAGTTTAAAATTTCGCAAAATCCTTAAAAGGTGTAGGCAGAACTGATTTGTATTGCAGGTCACAGAGAAGACTTTTCATGTCAATTTGCATGTTACCCATTTATTTATTTGTTTATTTTATTTACCCATTGAACTAAATGATATCATAACCATACAAATGTTGCAAATTAAAGGGTACTAGAGCAGGATTTTCAGCACAAGTATTTTATGCTAAAACAAAAAATCTTTGCAGTCAAAAAATAGAAATGTTTACGTTTACAAAATACTTCTAAGTATAAAGCTATGGTAAAAAAAAGTAAATGAGCTCCCACCATCTTGAGGAGGATGATAGATGTAGCGGCACACATGGTGAAGAGGATGGCCACGATAATCATGATGATTCCTACTGCCTTGTTTGATCCTATTACAGACATGGCAGATATCCAACCACTGGAGCCAACAATAAAAAAAAAAACATGTTAATTCGTATCATTGGCAACAGAACTGGACACAAACAGAAAACATGTATTTATTCACTATTAAAAAAATAAAGAATTTTCAATTAAATTAAAATTTTAAAATTTATGACTCTACACAAAATGCTCCAGATTAATGAAGTTAAACAAATAATTGAAAAAAATATATAAAATATAAATAAATAAAACTTAAAAACTATGTATTTTTTACAATGTTTGCTTTGAAGCACCAAACAATACCTCAGTTAAATAAAACCACCTGTTCAAAACCTCTAAGGACTAAGAGCTACCACCAAGAAAGAGACATCATGAAGACCAAGGAACTTTCCACACAGGCCAGAGACAACGTTGCTGTGTTCAAATGAATCAACGACACAAAGTTTATAAGAGTAGTGAGACCAGTTGAGTTATAAGATTTGGAGACAAGTGGCTTTGACAAAAAGACAGGAGACAGACTGGAAGTGGCAGAGCTGAACATGCTGAGGTTCTCTTTGAGAGGGACACGGATGGAGAAGATCAGAGACATACCACAGGCTGAACAACTGGGAGACAAAGTCAGAGAGGCCAGATGGAGATGGTTTGGACATGTCCAGAGGAGGGACAGTGTTGGTTTGGACATGTCCAGAGGAGGGACAGTGTTGGTTTGGACATGTCCAGAGGAGGGACAGTGGGTATGTTCATTTAAAAAAACCTCTTCAAGTCTTCCAGAGATTTGAGACTGAGTGAGGTCCACCTTCCAGCAGGACCATGACCCTGAACACAATGCTGAGGCAACACACCACTGGTCTAAGGAGAAACTGTTAAATGTCCTGGAATGGACCAGTCAGAGCCCAGCCCTCAATCCCAGAGAATCCCTGGTTTGATTTAAAGACTGTTGGACCAGAGTAGCACCCACCTAACCTGACAGAGCTGGGGCAGTTTGGTCATGAAGATCAGGAGAAAACCTGCCATGGCTAGATGGACCAACTAACTGCTGGATCTACAAAGTACAGACTCTGAGTACATACTGTACATATGCAAACACTTTTTTTCAGTTTTATTTGCAATAAAATTATTTCCCTCAATGTACTTATATTAATCTGGAATAAATAAATAAAAAATCATTTTTAAACTTGATGCTGTTGTGCAACAAAAAGATTGCAAAAAAAGGTGTACTTTTGAATGGGCAAATACAATGACAACACACAGCACTTTTCTTTTTACTTATCTGATCATAATCTTGGTATGGTAGTGGTTGAGAGTCATCCTCAACACACTGAGTGCAAGGTTTGAAAAAGCCTTGCCAAAAGGACTAGAAGTAGGCTGTAATGTATTTATAAAAGATGATTTTAGTTTAAAACTCTGACCTGAAAGGCAGCAGACAATAGGGGTGTAACAATACATAGGTCCATAACGATATATTGATTAAATAATTAATAATTCACTTACAACAAGGAAAAACTAAAACATAGATCCATATCATCATCATATTCCCATCGTGGATCGATAACATTTGCTCATCTAACAATCATTTGTGTTACATGTGATATTGCATCATATTGACTTGTAAATTGAATCAAAATCATATTGACAGATGACGCTTCATCATTCAAACAAATGATTTATGTATTTTTTATTTTATTGTTTATTTGATAGGGACAGATACAAGAAACACAGATCAAAACAATCTGATGTCTCAGTGTATATAGCTATAGCTAATTCACAACACTTATATTGTATCGTGATAATGCTGGTGATTTACACTCTTAGCAGCGATACGAATTTCTTCAAACTAATGTGAGGTTTTTAATTACATCTGCAGTAGAGTCCAGATGTTTGCCATAAAAAGTACAAAAACATGCTGTAACCAAACATTAAACCAGTCTGTTCCAAGTTTCATCCATGTTGATGGCATTTAATTCTTAATTATAGTTTCTAAATACAGTCACTGAAACTACATAAACTAAGCAATAAATTTAAAATACATTTTCTTAATTTGTTTGATTTTTAACAGTGGTGTGTGGACTAATATCAGAACTTTTTTTTACAGTTTACAGAAAACATGCGACTCACCTGTTCCCCCAGGAGGGGATGCCCACGGACTGGATGATGAAGATTGCAATTTGCACAAAAAACACAAAGAAGAAGAAGAAGAAGTTGAAGGAGCTGTCAGTCCTAAACAAAACAAAAACACAAAAACAAATGAAGACTCAAAAAATGTGATGAAAGCTTAAACTTAAACATGTTTTTTTTTTTTTTTGGTGTTTAGGAAAGTTGAAACAAGCCTTTTTCCCTCTGAACCGTATTATTTTTAACAAACTGGTTTTAGCTAAAATGCAAAGTTGTACTAAGGCTGATACTTTTTTACACTGGCTGGTTGTTAGTTTTACATACATGAACTTTAATCCTGCAGCGTCACACAAATCAGCATTTAGGACTAAGTTTTTTGGTCCAACAAAATATCTTATTAATAAATAAATATTTAGGATTTGCAGACTTCCTATGTTGTTTTAAGTAAAAAAAATTCTTTAGGCAGTATAAGTATAAAAGGATGATTATTTTTTATTTGACACAAAATCCATGAAAATACTGTCTTGTGTTTACAACAAGCAAGAGACTATTAAACTTTAACAAGCTTAACTGCATTTCAACTACTTTTTAAAACTTTCTGACTGATTAGGAATAACAGGAAATATTCATTGATTAGAAAAAAATCTAATTCTAATGAATTATTTGCCATTTGTGAGTAATTTTAAACTTACTACCGGCATCAGTAACTTTCACTGAGGACTCACCTGAAGGCCTTATAGACGGGTCGGTACCAGCAGAGGAAGGAGCAGGGACTGAAGAGCACGAGCCACAGAATGGAGAGGCCGAAGTCAACTCCGTGGTCTCCGGTGGTGAAGTAAGCCAGGCACGCCAGCAGGTTGAGGAACAGAGTCATACAGTTGACTAAAGGAAAACAGTTTGAGACAGTAAAAACACCAACATTAAATCAGAGTGTCTGTGCTGCAGAGTTCCACAGCACCATCACAACACTTAAAAATACTACTAAGAAAATCTAATGTATAAACATGTCAAGTTGCGCATACTGTCTGTAAATTTGACTGATTTTCCACCATTTTGCATACAAATGAACAGAGAAAATCTAATTTGTTTCAAAAACTCAGCTTGAAAAATATTTTATCTGTATAAAAGCTGCATGAATGGTTGACATGTATGAGAT